TCTACCACTTCATCCTCTGAAGAAAGTGTTTCAAGGGAAGATTTCCAGGACAATGAGAGGTGTGGTTATTGCTACAGAAAAACTAATACAAAATAAATGAGTGATGAATTGAGCAGAGAACATTATTTTAATGCAATTTTCACTGTCTGGAAATAACATTTATAAAAAAAATCCTAGTCAGATAGGCCTATTCTGTATTTAATCAATGTAAACTTTAGAGAATGTGATCTTAGCTTTAATCTCCTCATGGCATAAGTCTCGTCGTGGCTTTTAATGTAACCACAGTCTTTGCTTTAGAATTATTATTAACTGAATGCTTTTCTTGGTTAAATGAGGTAAAAACCAGACTTTATCTTAAATTCATCGTAAATGATCTCTCTTAGCAGCAAAGAGGAGACCCCACCCTCCTCTCCCTCAGTGTCTGTGAGTGAATCTGCTGAAACACAGACAGAAGAACTGACTGTGCTTGAACAGCCTGAGGTTACTTCCTCTCTACCTGCTGCAAATCAAGCAATGAAAGGTACTGTGAACTGAAAGGACTCCAATTTTTTTCATTTGGATTTGTGTTAATTTAGTATTTTGCATTTTATGCTGTTTACAATTTTAAATAAACATATTTTTTTTAATGTTAACAATTAAAGAAAAAGCAATATATTAAAATTGATTTATGAATGTAAACGATTGGGTGATTTGGCTTATAATATAGATATATATATATAGATACCACCATCTTTGATATTTATCTTTCATCTTTCCCTCTCCACTGTACCATCAACCCCTGTTCCAGCTAAGCTGGCCCGTCTCTCCTTATCGCTCCCTCCGCTTTCTCTCTCTCTTCCTCTCTCACCGAATGCCAAAGGAGGATTCTGGGAAGGGGGGGAGCATAGAGGGGGGAGGAGAAGGACTACATCAGCTGGTAGCGATCCAGATGAAGATGAAGAAGAGGAACAGGAAGATGAGTCTCCAAGGCGTGTCATCGTTGTCACAGAAACAGATGTTGACAAGAGAGTGGGTTTACGTAGTTTGCTGAAATCGCCAAAGGAACCCGTGGACAAAGAGAACCGTGACCGTGGGAGGAATGTGTCATTTTTTGATGATGTCACAGTCTATCTTTTCGATCAGGTATGTCAAGGGTATTTATACAGAAAAGCATCAAGTACCTTCAATGACAAGGTTTCACATTGTTAAACATTGTTATGTTTTGTTACTATTCTGTATCTTAAAACTCTTCATGCCAGGAAACTCCAACCAATGAACTTAGCTCTGGATCTACTAGTTCATCTCCCCACGGAAAGCCCCCCAGCACTGATGGTTTTGGTAAGTGTATAGACCATTTGGGTGTTTGCAAACAGCAATGACGTGTTTTATGGCCGGTGGAAAAAATGACAGATCTGTAGCAGGAGTCTATGAAAGCCATGGAATAAAAGAGTAAAAAAATAAATTTCACAATTCTGAGAAGAAAAAATCATAATGGGCTCTATGCACGGCGGTATTTCCGGTGAAGGTCTAAGGATGCTGGATTACTTCCGCCGATCGTAGAGTCCAATGCTATTCCGAGAATTTATATTGGTTTTTATACTCTGTTGCTATACTAAAGAAACGTTAGTCACAAAAACAGACAAAACAGACACCCCTCATTTTGTTTATGCTTCTTTGTTTATTATATTAAATAAACATAACTATATATAAAATTACATCTAAACGTATTAAAGTTTCGTTTCAAAGACGAGAGGACAGTAAATTTTGAAGACTCTGCCATAATCCCGTTTTCCTCGGTTTTCCTCCGCTTTAAATCTCCCCAACCGGAAACGCAAGAGCATCCTTGCGTCAAACGCGGAACTTATGCGTGCATATAGCCCATTGCGAGATATAAACTTGATATTCTGCCCTTTTTCCTCTCTTTTTTGTCAGAATTGTGATATAAATTTGCAATTGCAAGTTATAAAGTCCAAATTGAGAGATGTAAAGTCTGAATTGTGAAATACAAATGTTATGGTATATGGTACATAAATGTAATCTCTTTAAAATGTTATAGGCATAATATTATTTTATGCTGTAACTGTAGGGCTAATACAATCATGAACTGCATACGCGAATATTATGTAGATCTAGTGTTTACATCATATTCATGCTTTAAATAATACTGTAAATAATAGCGCAGGTTTCATCAGTCTGGTCTGTCCGTTTAATGAAGACTATCTTTTTTTGCATTCCGATTCTGACATCCAAAGGCACAACAAGACATTTTTCTCTTTATTCCGTGGATTTTTCCCGTTTTCCTTCCTTTGTTACCACTGTTTTTCTGCCACCACAATGCGCGCACAGCTGCAGTGATGTAACTGTGACGTCTGCCCCCAAATGGTCTATTCAGCAGAAGATATGATAATTTGGGGCTGATTTGCGTAAAGCAATTGTAAAACTTGTGATTGTGCGAAAAGAGTAAAATTCATGTGATCATTTGATAATATCAGTATCACAAACATGGATTTTCATATTAAAAAAATTTAAACCAGCAATGATTTTTGCTCATTCCAAACTCATCTGTCTGCATCTCCACCGTTTTAAGTTGAGATGAACTACCTACTCGCAGTTGCACAATTCATATTAGCTGCAGTTAACAGTACTAATAAACATATATCTATCTTTTATAAAAATCTTCAGAGTACACCTATTACACTTCTAAGATCACAATTTTTCAGATTGTTTTCTTTCTTTCTTTCTTTTTTTTTCTCCAGGATCAGGCAGCCACAAGGCATCAAAAAGTAAAGACCATGTAGTGAAGTCAAGATCTCCAACCGGAGTCACTTCTGGCTCATCATCAAGGTTTACAGTAAGCCCTGCCGATGACCCACATTTAGTGTGACAGATGACTGTTCCCTAAACACCTGGACAAAATGAACCCCCTCTGGAGTGAATGAGTGGCCCCCGTTGTCATCGGTAACTATGACGACTCCTGGAGGTTATTTTTTTAACTGCGAGAAAAAGAAGGGCTCCCGTTTCAAAAGGCTGGAGGCAGTCCAGGTTTTACTCACTGCAGCAGCTGGAGTGGTAAATCCACAAATAGAAAGTACCTTCCAAAACAGCCAAAAACCTTGGAGCTCTGTAAAATCTGACATGTACTTTTCGGCTATGCAATGGGAGTCTTATTATGTACCAGCTTAACTATTCTATTTTCATGGCTTCTTGAAGTACGTTTGTATTTTATTCCCCTTAAATGAAGGGGGCGCACTTTCTCTGACCAGTACCTGTCTATTTGTGTGCTTAGAAATATTGACATTGTAAATTTGTTCTCATTGCAGTCAGGCATTCTTGTAGTTTGTGGTTGAGGAGGGAATTGTCTCTGTCACAGCAGTGCAGTTCTCATTTAGCATTTGTACAATATTAAATTGCAACAGAATGCAAACTCATTTTAAAAACATTTATTTTAAATGTATTCTTAGAATGCACGAAAAAATAAAACTGCAACTAACTGTTGTTTTATACTGTATTTTTTATTGCAGATGTTATTTATTTCTGTATCTAATTTGTTTACTTGTTTGTTTATTTATTCTGAATTTTTTTTTATTTATTTAGATATATGTTTGTCTGTTGGCCTAATTCACTTTATAAGTTTAAGTAAACTGGATATTTACTTTGTATCAAATTATTTTGGATTTATGGCATTTAATAACCGCCTCAACAAACAAATATCTTTGCATAGGTATAAACACTGAAATGTTTTCTCTAATTTAGCTATTTCTAGATGTCAGTCTGTATCTAGTTGTCCTATGATGTGTCTCTCTGCAGGTGTTATTTTCTAATAATGTATTTGACATTAGCTTTTCCTTTATTAATTTTTGAAGCAGTAATTATTGCTTGGCATGAAAAAAGAGAAATCAGCATACATGACTATTAATTGACTTATTTATTCATTCATTTTTAGTTTTCAGTCTTATCATTCATTCAAATGTCTGAGGTAATCCAGATCATAACATCACGTTCAGCATCTGTTTCATTTAGAGGTTTCATATTATTCTGTATGAAGCTGAGGGAGTGAAAATAACATGGAAACTGTGAAACATTTATTGAACTGTTTGATGACAATAAATTGTTCTGTCTTATAATATCTGTGTAAAATATTGCTTTACTAACTTTAATATAATATTAATAATAAAATTATGCATTTTCTATAATATAACTTAAACTGGCATTAAAATAACGATTAGTATCATGAAATATGTCAACTCATTGGCACATTTCACAATACTGTACACTATCCCATGAAGCAAAAATCCTGTGTCTGTTGTTGTGTGGCCTATTAGATATGTTTATAAACTATTATCTAGCATAAAATTAGTAGAAAAAATAGTACAATTATTTTTTAACTATCATGAACATGAAATATTGTATCTGTCACACATTTTGGATGCAGCTGTTACCCTATGATTTTATCCCATTACAACAAAAAAGGAGAAAAACATTGAAAAAAAAATTAAAGTTAATAAAAAAATATATATATATCATTAATTTGTTTACTTTTTGTTTATTTGTTGTTTATTTCTAGAAAATTGATTACATTCAAGAAAAAAGATTTAGGGTTTTAAAGTGTATTTATATTAGATGTCCAGGATGTTGCTGTCAGGGTTACAATATCTATGTAAAAAAAATAATATATATATATATATATATATTTTAAATGCTACATTTTCTTAGATTTTCAGGCTCTATTTGATACCTTAATCGTGGAAAATGCCATACGCGTTCCTTAACACATTTCCCAGAAGCCTTTGCTGTAAAACATGTGACGCATTTAACCTGCGACTTCAGCGCCTTGTTTGGTGTTGTGCGCAACTGCGCATGGTTGTGCGTTAGTAAGTCGTTTCATGTTAGCTCACAATCTTGTTTCTTAAAGTGAGAAGAGGAGACGGTCTGAAAATGTAAGTTGGAGCTCATTTTACCCTGAAAACTAGTATAAAGACCTCGTTCATCAAAAATTAGTGTTTATTATCTTAATTGGCGTTTATTTACTCGCTCTATTTGTAGATGTCTTTGGCAGACGAGCTGCTTGCCGACTTGGAGGAGGCAAGAGAAGAAGAGGACGGGCAGTACCCCGGTGAAGAAGAGGGTGAGAGTGATGGGGAACCCAGCGAGAGACAAACTGGAGGTCTGGAGGACATACCCGAGGAGATGGAGGTGGATTACAGTGGGACGGAGAGTGTCACATCCATAGCAAAACTAAGACACAGCAAGCCAGTGAGTTTTTTCCTTTAATCCTATTTATCTATAACTGGATTCTCCCTTAAGCGTTACACTAACTTAATGCAAACTTCTTGACTTTCCTCAGTTCGCTGAAATCATGGATAAAGTCGGTCAATATGTTGGAAATCAAAAAAAGAATTCGGAAGGTAAGCAACATCCTCCTACTTTAAGAAACGTGCCAGATGCTGATAAATATTGATTTTATATTTTTAACGTCTTTCCACTCTCTTCAGTATCTGGACCTGTCGAATCAGACCCAGAGTACAGACTCATTGTCTCTGCCAACAATCTGACAGTGGAAATAGACAATGAACTTAGTGAGTTTACTATTTTTAATCTTCCTTTAATATTAAATTACAAGATTTATTAAAATTCTCAAGCACGATAACATCGCTTCCACCTTATTTCCTCCCCAGATATCATTCACAAGTTTGTTCGTGACAAGTACTCCAAAAGGTTTCCTGAACTGGAGTCCCTGGTGCCAAATGCACTAGATTATATCAGAACTGTTAAGGTAGAAACCTGTTCGTCTCAAGCATTTTTGAGTGGCCTGTTCATGCAAAAAAAAAAAAAAAAAAAGCCATCATATCAGTTATGTCCTCTGATCTGTGTTTTGCCTTTAAATCTAAGTTCACGTGTGTGTTATAAGTTCATGGGTTTGTGTGTGTTCAGGAGCTGGGCAACAATCTAGAGAAGTGCAAAAACAATGAGACACTCCAGCAGATCTTGACCAATGCTACTATCATGGTGGTCAGTGTCACCGCCTCAACCACACAAGGGTGAGTGAGTTGATGGATAGATTCAGTATGATTATAGGAAGAGAATCTACAATTTTTTTTTATTGTAGATATTTGCTAACGGTTCAAAGTTGGAGTAAGAAATTAAAGGGGTGGTTCAGAATTTTGGACATCGGGCCTCATTTCCAAGTTAGCCATAGTGTTATTTATCAGTGGAGACAGTTTTCAAAAATTTTCATCCAGTCGTTCCAGTTGCATAGTTCGCCGGTGCTAGGCTAGCGTGAGTCACCGGTAACTGCTAGCCTGCCATTTAAAAACAGTTTTACCCACTCCACAGTACACCAAAAGCAAATAAATTATAACGCCAGACTATCGATGTAAATGTCTGTTGAGAGAATAATGTTAGAAATCAAACTACCCTTTAATTGCATTGCAATAGTTACACTTTGTTCCCTGTATTTATTAGCACACTCTACAGCAGCGGCGGAGTGATATGTAGTTACCTAGGCAACAGAGAGAGAGAGGTAGTGCAGGTAGTCCTGACTGTAGTGCGCTTCGGTTCTGTGTTTACTTTTCCGTGCAGTACTACTAACCGGAGCAAAGTAAAATTCCGCCGCTGCTGAGAAACTAGTTCCTGTAAATGTATTGCGATCATTGAGATGCAAGAGTAGTTTGATTTTTAACATTATTCTCTTAACAGACATTTACATCGATAGTCTGGCGTTATAATTTATTTGCTTTTGGTGTACTGTGGAGTGGGTAAAACTGTTTTTAAAGGCAGGCTAGCAGTTACCGTTGACTCGCGCTAGCCTAGCACCGGCGAACTATGCAACTGGAACGACTGGATGAAAATTTTTGAAAACTGTCTCCACTGATAAACAACACTAAGGCTAACTTGGAAATGAGGCCCGATGTCCAAAATCCTGAACCACCCCTTTAAATCCAGTTTACATTGAATTGTGACAGTAATGTCATTTGTTTTTATTTCAAATAAATGTTGTTCTTTTGACCTTTTGACTTATCAAAGAATCTGAAAACAATATTTAAAAACATTAAGCAGCACAAATGTTTTCAACATTGATAAGAATTTTTTTCTTGTGCACCAATCAGCATAGTAGAATGATTTCTGAAGGATCTTGTGACACTGAAGACTGCTGAAAATCCAGCTTTGCCATCACAGAAACTACTTTTTAAAATTCAAATAGAAAAGTTACTTTACAATTATTTCATAATATTACTGTTTTTGCTTTATTTTTATCAAATAAGTGCAGCCATGATAAGCATTGCAATATTTATTTACATTGCTTATTTGTCAAGAAAAATATTGCAAAAGAAATTTGAAAAGGGAAGTATCATAATGACCTTGTATATGAGGTTTGTGGTAGAACGAAAGAAAGAAATTCATCAAAAACAGTTGCATTGTAATTATTTTAAAATTAAAGTACAAAAAAACAAGATTTTTTTTTTAGATTCATTCTTTAAATATGATTGTAAAATTTTTTTGACATTCATAAGTTTTGTAAAATTTTGCATTGACCTTTTTTCTTGACACTTTTCTTGTGCAGTAAGCGATTTCCGAGAGAAACTGTTGACATTTGAAATCCACCTAAACAAACACCCCTCCCTTCATTGCTCCGCTACCAAGCATGCAATGCAAAAGTTGATGTCTCTTTATCATAGCTGAAGTGAAGCAAAATCATACTTCGTGAAAAAAAAGCAAAAATGCCAAGTAAATACTTGCATCCATGATAAGCATCAGAGACTTCTTTCAAGAAAATTTTAAAAGAATTATCAACCCCCAACTTTTGATAGGTAGTGTAATTTTGCTGATTTTCTGATTAAATTATTGGATGTTTGCAGAACAATGCTTGGTGATGATGAGCTCCAGCGATTGGAGGAAGCGTGTGACATGGCCCTTGAGCTTAACCAATCAAAACACAGGATCTATGAATATGTGGAATCCAGGATGTCATTTATTGCTCCAAATCTTTCCATTATTGTTGGAGCTTCAACTGCTGCCAAAATCATGGGTGAGAACAAGAGGTTGGAGGCTGCTCAATAAAGTGCATAGTTCACCCAAAAATAACAATTGTCATTTACATGTTGTTCCAAACCTACTTGACTTTCTTCTGTGGGACAAAGAAGGTTAATTGTAAAGAATGGTATTTTAGTTTTTTTTTTTTGGGGGGGAGGGGGGAGAACTATTCACTTAAGATGCTTATGCTTGATCGCAATCAATATACCGCTTTTCATCCCTTCTATTTCGGATCTGTTTCTGGCCAAATGCATACTTCCCCCCTCATTACAGGTGTTGCTGGTGGGCTGACTAACCTGTCCAAGATGCCTGCATGTAATCTGATGTTACTGGGAGCCCAGCGGAGGACACTGTCTGGATTCAGCAGCACGTCCCTGCTGCCCCACACAGGCTACATCTACCACTGTGATGTAGTGCAGTCTCTGCCTCCAGTGAGCATCAACCTTTTTGCTTTCACTCAATTATTTTTCATTTCTTTTATTTGATCATTTTTATTTAGAATAACATTCCATTTTTCTATGTTTACAGGATCTGAGGAGAAAAGCAGCTCGTCTGGTTGCAGCTAAATGCACTCTGGCTTCTCGTGTGGACAGTTTTCACGAGAGTACTGTTGGCAAGGTCAGCGATCGCATCAGTAGCCACGTTTTACATAGAAATCATTCCGATTGTTGAATCCGAACATAGTGTTTACACGAATGCTAAATAAAGTGATCGGGTTGATGTGCACAGAGATTCCTGCTGTTGTCGCATACTAGCCATCCTCCTTTGTTTAAAAAAAAAGACTTAATATTTAGCCATTTCAGGTCCTAATTAGGAGACAACGAGCACACAAAGCTTTTTGCCATGATACTTGTATTAGTCAAGCAGTAAAAACTCCCTTTCCCAAAACAACGTGTCTGCAGATGAGAGTCCAAAGCAAGCGCTTATGGGACAACGTTGTCCTGCACTACTTCACAGATGAGGAGCGGAAAGAGAATTTTAGATTGACACGACAGTCATTTACTATATTCAACAACAACATCAGCTCGTTCTGTGCGTAATGCACCCTTAGGCCATTTTTACATTGCACAAATGTGCAAAAATTTCCAGTTTCGTTTTTCAATCTGATCACGTGTTTGCATGTATTATCGAACAGATTAGAATAGGTTTATCCCACCCATTGTAATCAGAATGCAATGCTTCATGTAAAAGCACCTATTGTCTGCATCACTGTAAAGTTAACTCGTGTCAAATGTTAAAGTTAGACCATCTTTGCTGTAAGAAAATGTTTAGAAGTACTATATTACTTTCTCTTGATTAACTTGTTTGTTTGTGTGCAGGTTGGCTATGATCTGAAGGAAGAGATCGAGCGAAAGTTTGATAAATGGCAGGAGCCCCCTCCAGTCAAGCAGGTGAAGCCTCTTCCAGCTCCCCTGGATGGACAGAGGAAGAAGAGAGGAGGTAGAAGGTGAGGATCATAACGGATGGGAATGATGGGTCCCTGTGGTGCCAAGAAAATGTCATTTCATAATATTTTTTTCCTCAGAGGAACATTGAGATTTTGCATTGCAATATTTTTCATGAGAAGCAAAATAAATTTTAAAGGGGAAATACTATTTATATATTACTTTAGTGACAAGCAAAAATAAATTAAAGGGAAAGGACAAAAACAAGATTCATTGTTTAGATTTATATTATATATGACGTAAGTTTTGACAATTTCATAATTATCTCAAATTTTGCATTGACATTTTTCTTGCCAATTAAAGGTGCAGTAAGCGGTTTCTGAGAAACACTGTTGATATTTGAAATAGAGGGTGTTGCAATATACCGGTGTTGACGATAATCGTGATATTCAAAGCATGAAATATCGACATCGTGTTAATTTAGAGTGTGGCAATTAGGGGTGTCCTTGGTTAACCGATTAACCGTTAAAAATTGCTTAACCGAGTGAAACATTTTGCTCGGTTAAGTGGCGTCAATGGCGTGCATTGAATTTAGTTGTAATACATTTTTGCACCACCAGAGACCGCCAGAGCGCTCCCATACATTTGTAATGTCCACAAGAAGTAGGCTAGTCATGACCAGTTTTCTAAAATGAAGCGGGCAAAGAAAAGCACAGCGTGGGAGCACTTTAAAATCGAGAATGACGGGGCAAAATGCAAGTATTGCAATGCAGTGCTTAGATATATATTCAAGTACAACCTCGTTGTTGTACCATCTCAACAGCCAACACCCGGGCATCATTATGGTCTGGTGTGTTCACACCGAACGCGAATAGAGCGTCAAATAACGTTACGCGTCTAGCTTGAACATTCGCTCGAGTTCAAATTTTTCAACTTGCGCGAAAGACATTCGCGGCAAACGCGTCGCCCAATTCGCGTCATTCGCAACGCCCGGAGCGAATGATGCGTCTATTCGCGTCTTTGCATTGACTTTGTATGTAATCACTCGCACATATAATTAAATTCGCGTTCGGTGTGAACACACCATAACTGCTCTGTCCTTACCACTGCGTTTTATTTCTATAAATTCATTTCGTTTTAAATGTGGTCCAACCAGTTATTAAAGGTGTTAAAAATGAACTACCCCTTTCTCGTGTGTCTATCTCGGGGTTGCGGCGCGCACACTATGGTTAACCGAGTATTAACCGCTAAGGGCCTCGGTTAAAGGTTAATGAAAAACTTGAAAACGTGCAGCCCTAGTGGCAATATAACGGTATTGGTGATAATCACGATGTTTAAAATGAATAGGACTGTTATGATAACATGACACGTAAATACTCCAGCGCGAGTAGCTGGTTGACCTCTCAGGTGGCTGTATTGCACCCGATGACACCTATCAAGCAAGAAGACGCAGCCCGGGCCGCGCAGCTACTCTGAGAAAAACAACACTTTAAAGGGGATCGCACACCGGACGAGAAGCGCAGCACCACGTCTTTAAAATTCGAACACATTTTCTCTTCGAGTGTACACACACCGGTTGTGCCATTCGGCGTCTGTCCGCGGCGCCCAGCAACGGCTCTTGTTCAAAATCCTGCCGCGACACAGAGTGCCATTTACATAGTTTTATATTAAATTTACATTATATTTGTCTTAAATAATCGTAAATTACTTCACCCTGTGCTGCAATGTACATTAGTTTTACATTAATTTACAGAAATCAGCTGCTTGAATGAAGATTGCTGCTGTTATCGGATTTTCAGGTGATATTCTCAATTCATTCAGTTAATGGATGCTCTGAGGTAAAGTGTTCAGATCACAGACTCAGCAACTATTGTATTTAATTGTACAGTACAATCATAACATAGTAGCCTACAGACATTATCTTAATTTCATAATCTCCTTAAACATAAGAATACTGCTGGCCATAAACTGAGAAAGTGCACGTCCGGTGTGCGATACCTCGAGTTGTCCTACACGCGATGCGGCGCTCCAGAATGTGTAGCCACCATCTTATGTTTGTTGGGTAAAAAAGAAAAACTACACCCCCCTTATAGATTCTATAGATATCGCGATATATCGATATTGTGAATTATTTTGGCCACAATAACCGTGGTGTGAAAAATCTAACATCGTGACAGCCCTAATTTGAAATAAACCTAAACGAAAACACCTCTCACTTTATTGCTCCGCCCCAAACACGCAATGCAAGAGTGGATGTCTCTTTATCAGAGCTGAAGTAAAGCAAAATTATGCTTCACAAAAAATAAAGCTGATGAACGAATGACAAGGAAGAACAAAAAATGAACATAAGTACTAGGGGTGGAACGGTACACAGAAGTCACGGTTCGGTTCATACTTCGGTTCAGACATCACGGTTCGGTACGATTTCGGTACAATGGAGGGAAAAGCAAAACAAAAATGCAGAAGGCATTGTATTTTTTAAATAAGTTTTATTAATAAAGGCATAGAACCAGTTTATTTGTAGTGCACTGACAATAGTTTTATATAATTCGTTTATTAATTAAATTAATAAAAAGACAAAAAGACCTTGCTATATGTTTGGTAATTGTACCTGAATTAATTTAAAATTAATTTGCTATATTTCAGATAAATATATTTGTTTTCCTTAATTTTAATTAACATTATTAATTAACAATGTAACATTATTCTCATCTGAATTATAAATAATTGATTTCTGTATAAAATAATACTACCATTAAAAACGCATTCGATTTTTCTTTTTTAATCAATGTAGAATGTTTAAGATTAGTGCTCCGAGGACAAGAAATGAAAACCAATGCGATATGATGAATTTCTAAAAGATGGGACCCACAGACTCTTTTGAAATGGAGTTGGATAAATATGTTTTGCTTTTAAAACAGTGTGTGTGAGAGAGAGATTTTGGTTGGGTGACAGTTGTAGGTTACAGTTTGACAAGAGTTTACAGTGTGACAAAAGCACAATGTTGTGTTTTATTGCGAGTGTACACAAATATAAGTAAACACTTTGCAGGTTTAATGATCTGTATGAACAAAATGACGTATGAGTATGTTTTTTATGTTTCCACTGTTCGATCGCGCCCGCGCGCCTCTCTCTCACACACAAACACACACACTCCAGCATTGCAATCTTGACATCGCAGCCTGTTCATTATGTGGTCACACCAACCGCAAATAGAGCGTTAAATTCGCGTCTATCGCGTCTAGTTCGACGCTAGTCCAAAGCGAATAGGACGCGCGTATAAAGCCAACGTTTGAAGTGAACGCGCGTTCAGAGCAAGCCGATGGTACAGATTATGTGTCCCTAAAGAACACGCGTATCTACTTCCGCATTACATTAATTCATTTTCACGCGAGTTTTATTTATTTTTATACCGTGTATTCTCCGTGTAAATTCGTGCACCGAACCGTGACGCCCGTACCGTTTCGGTACGAATACATGTACCGTTCCACCCCTAATAAGTACACAAGACTATATAAAGCAACAGTTGGTTGTTAGTCACCAGCACATCAGCTCCAGACAAACAATGACACTCGAAACTTTTCTGTTACTATAGCTAACATTACAACAACAGCAATGTTACTCAATGTTTTTTTTTTTTAAACTGCAAAAAGTGAGGAGCACTGACTGTCCTAGGTCTATAGTAACAGTCACAATCGCGCACCTGACCACACCACACGCTACAAAAAATATAACTGCTATCTGCCACAATGAAAAATCCTAACAAAAGCTCTCGTTTATACAGGCTCTATATTCTTCTTTACTTTCAAAGCTATGGGTTAACTTTTGTCCAGCGATCTAGTAGTTTTAAAACAAACACACAAAAAAACCCAAAGAGCCTAAAAAACAATCCTAATAATAATAGGCTGTATTGTAGGACCGCATATAGGTTTATTTTCGTTTTGTTACATTATTTAGGCTATTTTTAAATGCGTCAAGTGTACAAATAAAAACAAAAACATATCAAGAAAACACAATCTATTGAGTCAGCATGATAAGGCCGTTAAAGGGACTGCTCACGTCTTTTGAGCGCTCAAGTTCGATTTCAAATGTAGGCGCGCGGTGTGGGCGCTCATGATGGAAGCAACGCGGTCGCGGTGCGACGCGCTCTTTTTTTTTTTTTTTTTTTTTTTTTTTTTTTTAGTGCGTCCACGCCGCATCGAGATAAAAACATATAGTGTATAAAAACATAAAAACCGAAACAAGTAGCGTTCTAACTGAATGAATACAGCTAAACTACCTATATCCCTTACTGAGCACGAAGCAGCAGCGCAGCCAGCCACAGGGGCGAACCGAGTGTTCTATGTGTGTGCGCTAAACTGTGGCGCTGTTACGAAATAGCCTAAATTAAAGCATTTAAAGTTGGGGATAAACCATAGGCTAATTATATTTAGAATACAGTAATGTATAAACAGAGCAATTCCAAGAGGGTCCTCACACCATCGGTGCTCGGGCCCTAATAACTGCTTATAAAGGAATAAATATCAAGGAGTAAATCATTGAAAATTTCTTTCTATTGGTAAAAAAAAAAAATGCAACTGGTCGACCAATAAGAATGTCAGTCGACCAAGACGGCATCGACCGATTAGTCGACTAAACGACTAAAGTTGACAGCCCTAGTTACAAGTGTGTTGTGCTCTGTCCGATCCAACAGTATTTCTCAGAAATCGCTTACTGCACCTTTAAGCAAAAGAAAGGGGAAATATTATATTATACACTAATTTGTTCTTAAATATGACACTACATGAACTTTTTCAAAATTTGAAAAAAAAATCTTTTTTTTCCCGTTCTCTCAGGTATCGTAAAATGAAAGAGAGGCTGGGTCTGACAGAAATTAGGAAACATGCCAACAGAATGACATTTGCAGAGGTAGAAGTTATCCATTAGTATGCATAACTGTTAATTAATCCATGAAATTTCAAAACGGTCTATTACAAACTTTCTGTCTCTCTGCCTGTAAGATCGAGGATGATGCTTATCAGGAGGATCTGGGCTTCAGTCTCGGTCAACTGGGAAAGTCTGGTAGTGGCAGGGTCAGGCAAGCTCAGGTCAATGACTCCACCAAGGCCAGAATATCCAAATCCTTACAGGTATGTCTGCTTACTGTAACATAAATCACAAATAAATTTTTTTAATGTAACTTCTAATCTTAAGTGTATTTCTATACACTCCCGGTCTAAAATTTGGGGCCAGTAAGTTTAGTTTTTTTTAAAAGTTTTTTTAGCTTTTTACCCGCACTGCATTTATTTGATCAAAAATACAGTAAAAACAACTAAAGTATGAAATATTATTGCAATTTAAAATTACTTTTCTATTTTAATATATTTTAAAATGTAATTTAATTGAAGACTTGAGTAATGATGCTGAAATTTCAATTTCAATTTTTACTATCACATGATCCTTCAGAAATCATTCTTATATGCTGATTTGGTGCTCAAACCTTTATCAATGTTGAAAACGGTTGTGCTGCATGATATTTCTGTGGAAACAATTTTTTTTTTCATTATTCTTTGATGAATAGAAAGTTCAAAATAACAGCATTTATTTGAAATCAATCTCTTTTGTAACATACAGGTGCTGGTCAACGAATTAGAATTATTTTAAATAGTGCAATCATGAAATTCTTTGAATGCATTTTTTGTGCAGAAAGCAAATCAGGTGTTCACCGCACCTGTCCTACTCGTTAGACTAATCACATAACTCGTTATCTGGAAAAAAATTTGCTCAGCTGAGCTTTCCAAAAGGCCCATTTAGGCCATTTAACTGTGACACTGTTGTTTTATTGAATTAGAATAATGGTGAAAGCGTTTCATTGAATTGCAATAATTTTTATTATAATTACAATCATCACTTTCTCAGTATTTTGTGGCTGCCCCTTTGGCTTGTATGACTGCCTGAAGTCTCCGCGGCATCGATTTGACCAGCTTGTCGCAAGTTTCCGCACTCACAGCTTCCCAGGCAGTGGCGATGTTCTGCTTCAGTTGGTCCAGCGTAGTAGGCTTTCTGTCGCGAATTTTCCGCTTGACGATGGCCCAAAGGCTTTCAATGACATTGAGGTCAGGCGAGTTGGCCGGCCATGCCAAAACTTCAAGCTGTTTTTTAGTGAACCAATCTTTGGTCGACTTTGCCGCATGAGCCGGTGCAAGATCCTGTTGAAATATGAAGTCTTCTTCGCCGAACTGTTCCTCAACAGTCGGAATCAGGAACGTTTCCAGAACATCTTGATATACGGCAGCATTGACAGTCTTCTTGAGGAAGCAGAGTTTCCCTACACCTCGAGCGGACATGCATCCCCAGACCATAACGCTCTGGGGAAACTTGACGGATCTTTTCACGCACTCGTGGTTGTAGGTTTCGCCACCACGACGCCAGACACGAGGACCTTGGTCACCGAAGGAGATGCAGAAGCGTGATTCGTCACTGAAGACCACTTTCTGCCAGTCTTCAGCAGTCCACTCGCCGTGTTCTTTGGCCCACTTCAGCCGTTTCACCATTTGTTTCTTGTTCAGCATCGGTTTTACTGCTGGAACGCGAGATTTGAAGCCGAGTTCGCGCAGACGACGGTAAGTGGTTGATCTGGAGACGTCAGCGCCGGTCTGCTTGTTCCACAAGTCGGTGAGCTCGGAAGTGGACTTGAACCGGTTGCTGACTGCGATCTTTCTCAGCTGCTTGTTGTCGCGAGCAGAAGTTTTTCGGACGCCGGAACAGTTGGTGCGCTTGCTGCAGTTTTTCTTGAGAGCTTTGCAGACGGAAGACTGGCTGATGCCGAGCTGCTCAGCAATTTTAGTTTGGGTCAAGCCTTGTTGGCGAAGGGCTTGAATTTGAGCCACTATTCCGGTTGAGAGGTCGCGCTGCTTACCCATGATTGATTTTACAACTTAGAAATTCTACTCAACCCTGACTTTATACTGCACAGTGAACACTCTTCACAGAAAACAAAAATTTGAGCATTTATTCTAATTCAATGAAACGCTTTCACCATTATTCTAATTCAATAAAACAACAGTGTCACAGTTAAATGGCCTAAATGGGCCTTTTGGAAAGCTCAGCTGAGCAAATTTTTTTCCAGATAACGAGTTCTGTGATTAGTCTAACGAGTAGGACAGGTGCGGTGAACACCTGATTTGCTTTCTGCACAAAAAATGCATTCAAAGAATTTCATGATTGCACTATTTAAAATAATTCTAATTCGTTGACCAGCACCTGTAAAAGTGTTTACTGTCTTTTTCCATCAATTTAATGTGTCCTTGCTAAAGAAAAATATTGATGTCTTTAAAACTGACCCCAGATTTTTGAACATTAGTGTAGATTTGTTTAATATAATTTTTTTTCCCAGTTTTGTTTAATGCGTTCCATGCATTTACTTGTAAATGTTTTGTTTCTGCAGCGGACACTGCAAAAGCAGAGCATGACGTACGGTGGGAAGTCCACTGTCAGAGACCGATCATCTGGAACCAGCTCAAGTGTGGCCTTCACTCCTTTACAGGTACACAAACTCATTTTTGTGCTATTCTTTTGGTGCGTCTCGAAGGCGTTCAGCGGAAATCCCGCCCTGCGGCTAATTTAATTGGTTAAGGTTACAGTGACGGGTCGGCTTGGGGATCAGTGTTTGGTGTAGGCAATCAGTACAGTGATTGGAATGACCAATGGAATCTTTAGAATTACCTGCAGGGTGGGATTTCCGCTGAACTGGTTTGGGGGGAAATCACACGTCTAAAAGTGGTTACATCCTTTGCATTAAAATTGTTCTTGCTCAGAGCTGCACAGTTTCAGTGTTGTTCACTTGCTGAAACACTGACTGACAGCTCTGCCCTACAAAGGCAAAAGACCTTAACTCGTTAGACTGTGGAACTGAGAAAAATGACTTTAAAGATTTTTAGTTGTCCCGCCAAATTAATTATAGGTAGGACACTGAAAATCTGGCAATTAAAGTAATGAAAATTATCTACATAACAAAATGAATGCATTGCTATTCAGACTACTTTGCTATAAAGTAGAAAATGCATTGCTACTTTACTATTCAGAGTGATGTTATCAGTTATGCTTTTCAGAAATGTACATAAATTAATCATTATTAGCTTACTGTACATTTTTTAAGGCAGAACAAAGAGCTAATTTAAGTAATACATACATGTTTGTTATTAGAGGATTAGATTAGGACTCTGACTAATATGGTATAGCCTAATGGAAATGCAGATACTTATGCTTAGATTGTTAATACATAATGTTTTTGAACAGGTGACATTTTATGTTTTGGCCCTTCAGTTGAGTTCAAAATAAAATGGACACAACGAAATAAACACTTGATTTTTTTTTTAATTAGTCGTTTAGATTAGTCGACTAATCGAAAAATTAGTCGAAAGATTAGTCGTTAGAAAATTAGTCGTTAGTGGCAGCACTAGACGCTGTGTTTTGTATGCATGCTTTTAACAGCTGTCCTGATGTTGTATGCACCAGCACTTCTTGCTTCATTATGCTGTATGCGCCAATATACCCTTGTTGCTTTATTATTATCACTCTGTGATACTGATATATTAGTCCCGCGTCGGCTCGACCGTGTTCAAGGCGGAGCTGAAGGCGCCGGCGAAGTTTTGGCACTCTGCCAGCTAGATGCATGATTGTTTCAACTAGGTCCGGTACCCAAACTGGGTGAGGCGGGGCTTTAGTTCTTTGTTGTATTGACCTGCTTCGGTATGTGTAACATTTTTCTGTCAACTCTGCATATATCCTTCGCGATCGATATCGCACGTTTGTCGATGGAGCGGGTTAAGAGCATACTAAATGTTCTGACCGCATTAGTGCAGGACAAAGCTCTGAGGACATCAGAAGTTACAGGGACGGATGGTAGCTGTACAAAGTACACAGGCTACATCGTAATTTCAAATTTAATGGAGAGTAAAACAAAGGCAGAACACCGAATAATCTGATAGGTAGCATTATTTGATAGAACGCCAGCACAGTAACTTCATATTGACGCGCGGCTAAACATAGGCAGAGTGCCGTAACTCAATATGAGCGTTCCAAAACTAAGCCAAAGAGCCGTAACTGGTGTTACGGTGTTCTGCCTTGGTTTCTCATGGGCTTTTGGAAGTTACGGTTAAGACAAACCATTATTTCTCGAAAAAACAACGTAATTGACTCAAGATACTTATCCACATGATAAAGGAGGTCTTGAATGTGCCAAAAATATCAATAACTCATTTTCGACCAAAAACGAAGTTACGGTCTTTTGCCTTTGCACGGCAGAGCTGTGGTTTGGTTGATTGATCTTTTCACTGTCTGCTGTCTCTCAGGGGCTCGAGATTGTGAACCCGCAGGCTGCAGAAAAGAAGGTGGGCGAAGCCAATCAGAAATATTTCTCCAACATGGCTGAGTTCCTCAAAATCAAGCGTGAGAAGGAGGACAAGGTGTGAGGCTGTGTGTTAGACGGAGGAAACCACATATATCGACAGCCGTGGACGGATTCACACTTCAACCGCTAATTTATACTCCGACACCACACCCACTCAGACGGACATGTGTGAGGACAGCACAAGGACATGTGACTGGAGATCTTATTTTCTGTGCAGAGGAAATGAAGAGGGAGAGAAACATGTTCTGGTGTACATTTTTGATTTTTGTTCATTTTATCTTTTTTTTTAATGTGTACAAAGGAATTGTGAGCTGTATATAAATCACAAACAACATGGTAAATGCAAGTTGTTTTAAGCATTTTTTGTTTCTTCCATTTTCCTCTTTGGCCAACATTTTGATTAAATAAAGTTGCTCGTCTAGTTGTACCAACATTGTCACTAGTCCTTTTTCATTTCTGTGTGTGCGATGCATTTTCTTTCCCTGAGGAAACTTGTATTACATTTAAAATGGTTTGAAACGCTTCCCAAAATAATTTAGTTTAGTATGTTTGCATAAAACATGCTTGAATATGCAAGCGTTTCCATCTTTCCTATTAGAGGAGACCTGTCTTCCCCATGTACATATAGGGGCAATCACATATGTCATGAATTAAATATCTGAATACTTCATTTTCAAAATAAAGGTTGAACGTCAAAAGGCTTTGTCAATTTTTTATAATGCAAGTAAATGCTGGGTGTACAAATAGTTTAACAAACAAAATGGTATATTGAAAGAAATTCTGGTGTCACATTTATCTTAAGCAACATTTCATGTTTATGAAATACTTTTTAATTTAGTTACATTTTCAACTCTTACATAATGGTAGACCAAGGAACACAATGTCATTTGAAAAATGTTTTGTTTTTATGTGAGAAGCGCATTTGAGATGAGTTGACTGAAGTGGTGCTTACTAATTTTTGAATATTAAACAATTTAAATAGTCATGATCTTTTTATGCTTTATTACACACCTTATTAGCCAAATGCAGACTAGTCTATTAATATATTTCAGTATACTACTAAAACAATGCTTTTGACTTGTATGCTATGCTGTTGTTTTCTCACATAAAACTGAAACGCAATAACCAATATTTCATGGCCATTTAAGTATTTATTTGGTAAGGAGCCGTGTAATACGGAGGAGAAGAAACGGAATAGTTTTTTTCTTTTTTTTGCTTAACCCTGATACAGTGATTAGGACCCTGATGCTATATGGGGAGGCTGCAGACCTGGAGCCGGCAGATTTACGCCCCTGGCAGTTTTACGCCCCGACAGTTTTAGGACCCTGTTGTTCCTGATGCGTCCAGTAGAGGGATATACTGCGAAATAACATAATTAAATCGACGCTTACACATTAATAACCCGTCCATAGACTTGACAATTTTGTGTTTTTTGTTAATTTAAATATAAACGTTACAGTGTAGATCTCCACGGATTCAATTTTCTGTAGATATTCAGTTGGGCTTCACTCTCTTCACTCAACCTACAGAAGACTATTTGTTTTTGTGAATTGAAAAATTAAAAATACACATAGTTGGATCAACTATGTGTTATGACAGGTGATGCTATGACCTACTGCAGTTATAGGCCAATTCACCATAGGTTTTTATATACAGGAGACTGAGTGAAATATGTTTTTGTGAATTTATATAAAGTCACATTTAGATATTAACCATATTTAGCCCATTAGACATGCAGTACCGTGTAATAATATGGATCCTCGATTAAATATCTGCTGTACTATTCTATTGGTCATCATACAGCTACAAAACAGTGTCCTACACAGCATTTTATGAAGACAAACACAATTTATCCCTTTTCTAAAATTCCATGGGCCATTTAGAAGATATAGACAATATTGTTGTTCACCAAAAAATATTTATTAACACCATTTATGAATTATGATGACTCCCCTATGGTTTGCCACTCTTCTTTAACTGTTTTTTTTTTCTTTAACTGCTCCTGCTCACTGATGAAACATTAAAAAATGAAACATTAAAAAAGTTAAAAAGGACATCCATGGTGAATTTGACCTTGTCCCTGTGTGTGTGTGTGTGTGTGTGTGTGTGTGTGTGTGTGTGTGTGTGTGTGTGTGTGTGTGTGTGTGTGTGTGTGTGTGTGTGTGTGTGTGTGTGTGTGTGTGTGTGTGTGTGTGTGTGTGTGTGTGTGTGTGTGTGTGTGTGTGTGTGTTTCCTTAAGTAGCTAAAGCAAACACACCTTTATGAGATCCAAGTTAAAGAGAACTTGGTAAAGACAGAGTATGATAAAACCCACATTAAGTGCACATACCCTACATTTGAGTCCAGATCAGTAAGCTATTTTAAGAAAAAATGTATATTAAGATGTAAATGAGATAATTAGATCATCTCATTTATAAGAAACAACTCAAACCAGAATCTACATTCAAACCATATGGGGAAAGTTTGTAATGTGTTTTAACGTATTTGAGTGAGTGTGCAGTTTAACTCTGTACTTAGAGAGAGAGAGAGAGATTTACATACCTATTATAAATGTGTCTTTTGTGTGTTCACACCATAGACTGTAAAAAAAATTCACATATTTCCATTATCTACTGTAATATTGCTCTATAAACCATGTGGAGTATGTTTTAATGCAAGGAGTAAACAGAGTCTTACCAGAAGAGGCCAAGCTGAAGACAGGCAACAAAAGAAAATTAAAATTAAAATTAATTTTAAATTGAGTAGAGAAGATAGGGGAAGCTAAACCTACACGTGGTTAGTTAAGTTTAAGCCAGATAGAACAGAAACCTGTCAAAATACATTATAGACCCATCCATTATTATATATATATGAATTGATATCTACCTACCCTAGCTCTATCGAGCTAATCGTTTATAAATAATAAATGTTGCATCATTGCTAAAAAACAATAACTTTAGCAGATTATTTAACATACAAATGACAGAATCTATTTTTGTCAGATTTTAATTCTAACGATGTTAATCTTGATTATACGGTATTATTACTTTGTCTTCTGGGCAAGTTTCATCTTCATAAAGACAGAACCATTCAAAGTAATCCTGATTCTAGAATATTCTCCTCTGACATAAAGTTCATTTTTTTTCTTCCTTTAAGAAAATGTCAGAACCTTTAAACTCAAAGGTTTATAAAACAAATAATATCATTGAGTCTGTTGTAAAGAACCTTACATGTTTTTATATTGACAAAATGTAATATTGCATATTTGTGTACCCTAATTCAGTCTCTTTTGATGTCCGTTTACCCCCTTTGTTTTTTTGTTAAACAGATAATTTAATCCGTGCAGATCTACACTATAACGTTTATATTTAAATGAACAAAAAACACAAAATTGTCAAGTCTATGGACGGGTTATTAAGCGTCGATTTAATGATGTTATTTCGCAGTATATCCCTCTACTGGACGCATCAGGAACAACAGGGTCGTAAAACTGCCGGGGCGTAAAACTGCCAGGGGCGTATATCTGCCGGCTCCAGGTCTGCAGCCTCCCCCCTACTCCCCTGATGCGCAACTGGTGGATGTTTTTTATTATTTACATGAAGATGGTGTATGAGGTCCAGCCACCTGTTAATGGAGACAAGAACACTGACACTGCATCACAAAAGTATTTTATTGAAATTTTACAACTCTGTTTTTTTGTTTCCTCTCAACCTACAAAGCGACATCACAATCGCATGCTGTCCTGTCCATGTCAAAAAGGCAAGGATGATGGTGTTTGTTTTCTTATCGGAGAGAAATAGACAAATGCAATCAGCTGCCCTGTGCATCAAAAATACTTTTCCATCTCATCACATTTATATCAGTTTGTGTTGGTCAAGTCCATTGTTCTCCTTAAACAAGAGGAAACTGAAATGAATGGAAAGTCGCATGGGATCGTGTCACAATGTGGGGTGTTTCAAAAAGCTTTGCCTGATAAATGGAGTAACGGAACAATGATTTTTTTTTAGTTTTAATAAGGGAAACTGTCCAGCAGAGTATGTGAGAATAAATTCAAGATGTGACTTCAAAAATAACAGGAAATTTGGGGAAGGTTTTTGTTTTACTTTACATGCACACTTCCACACAACAAAAATATTCAGCCATGGACAACTTAAAAAGGACACTGAAAGAAAGAAAAATAAGGTTTTTAACTTGTACATATTTTAAATTTTGTCTTTTTATTAGATATTTCTGAAGTGAGATCACTCATGCCATGTTTAACAGACAAATAATCACACGCCACTTTGAAGGCTGACAACGTCAACCCACCTTGCTTGTGAACATATTTAAGATAGATGCTACAGAACATTACCCTCCTATCAACGCCAACTTTTTTGCGGTCAAGCAAAACCACATTTAGGTAATGATAAAGGTAGGGAGGTCGAGAGGAATTCAATTGCATAGCAATTTAATGGTCGACACGTTATCTCGCAAGGCTAAGTCACAGTGCCTAAACACTCCCAGAGGGGCTCAATGAACTAAGAACAACCAATCAATGCATTAAACTCGGGTTCTCGCATAGTGCCGATACACCATAGTCAGTATATGTCATCTAAAAGGATAAGACTTGCTAATGCAGCACTCCACCAAACACAAACTACGAGCAAAATGTTTTGTCTGTGGCATCCTAAACCAAATCGTTTCCTTTAATTTCTGTCACTTGGCTAGGTGGGGGGTTTCAGTTAGAACAGAAATGATGGGGATAAAGACTCAGTTAAAGGAGGTTCAAATGTTTGCATGTAAACAGGCACTCGACCCCCTACTCACTCTCTCTTTTAAAGAAAAAGGCCAACTTCACATCCAACTTTAACCACGACATGGAGTTCATCTCGGAATGTCAACAGCAGCGTTTTCTCTGTCGTAGCAATCTTTCTCTCTCTGTCTTGTCCTCCTTCAGTCACTGCAGGTCTCTGTCTTCCAGGTATCTGTACTCGAACGTAAATCCTTCCTTTTTTCTCTGGCCCCACTTTTCATAGTCAAAGTAAATGTACGTGCCCTACAGACAGAAAAAGAATATTCATTAAAACAGCAAGTTCAAAGTCTCCAAACGAAGTAAAAGCATATTATTAATGCAATACAATCACAGGAACTAGGGATATAATAAAGCAAATAAATATTATTGTAAAGATTACATAAGATTTTTAAAGAAATAATTTATTCAGCAATGATGCATGAACTTAACCTCAACCGTAAGACATTTATAATGTTACAAAAGATTTGTTTGAAATAAATGCTGTTCTTTTGAAATTTTTATTCAAAGAATTGCCAACATAGAAAAAAAAATATTTGAAAATATATTCAAATAGAATAAGTAATCTTTCACAATATTACTGTTTTTACTGTAT